TCCTCAAACACCTACCCCATTTAGAACAAATTTGTGATGAAAATCCTTATAAGCAAGATCATCTCTTCTTTGTGGCCCTAGAAATTGTTTAGAAATTGACATTAAAAAAAGGAAATTAACGAAGGCCACTGGCCACATATGTAAAACGAAGTTCAACGAATTAAAGTAAAGTAATTAAACAAAAAAAGAGAAGGAAGATGACACTATCAACGTTTAATATACACATCAATCAAATAAATAAAATCTTAGGCATAGTGATTCATGAATACATTGAAAGATGATAACCACAAATTTCCAGTATGAAATTAGAGTTCATACCGAATACTGGATTCCATAGCGTTCGACAACAGTGATTGAAAGAGATTAACTAGGAGCTTTGATATTAGTGACAGACGAAGAGAAGCAGAGAGATGGAGACGATTGGCTATTAATCGCAGAAATGGAAGGGAATGAATGAGAATTGCAAAGATGGAATGGATCTAACGAGAGTATAGGCGGTTAAGGAATGGAACGTGATTCTTCCAGAATTAGATTTAAGTCAAATGACTAAAACACCCTCATGTGTAATAAGCTTGTTGTCTTCAAACCTGCAGAACCGAACGATTATCTAATTAGATGGAGGGTTAGGATTAGGTTTGTAGGTTAGCATATTAAGATGGGTTTGCATTTGATCTTATATATATATATATATATATATATATATATATATATATATATATATATATATATATATAGGGTGCGGTTCCTGTGAGAACACCCTCTTAGGAGAGTAAAAAAGAACAAAATCTAACCATCAATTAATTCAATCAGATGGCCTAGGATTTTCCGTAATAAAGAATTATGTGCAAGACATTCGAATAATTAATGTAGTAAATAAGGTAACGTGCAACTCTTTATTTATCAAGGGGCACAATGGTAAAAAGAGTCCAAGTAGTTGTCATGAACGAGCCACCATAATAGGAAAACATCCTATAAATTGGGAAACTAATTAATGCATGAACTCCATCATAATTAAGATCTAATAAATACTTCTTTTATTTAATTTTCTTTCCGAATTTAAATACTCTTACATTTAATTTAGATAACCAATTTGATTTAAAAAGCTACTGAAATGCTATATTTTTATATCTAATCTTTTTTGCCGAAGGTAATATTTCATTAGTGGAATCAAATTAGGATTGTCTATTTGCACACCTACGTTGAGTAGATGCACTTTTAATCAAAATATTAGGCGACATCAATTTAATTAAATATTTGAGTATTTTTGCACTATCAATAGTTTAGATAACTGAATCTATTCTTCGAAGTAAAAACTTTTGGAGAGAAATAACATTTTAATTAAGTTAATTTTACCTGGTAATTGTAAGCTTCACTTTTATATCCTTTCATTGCACTTAATGTTACATTAACCCACACTTTACTCATGTACTCGTGCACTTTCATACTAAGCTTGTTCTAAAAAAATGATTTTAAATAAGAATGAAGAAATATACAATAGTGTAAGTAGCAATTATCATAAAGTGCACTATTATATCATACTTTCTAATGCTTTACACACGCTTTTTTTACAAAACAAAATGCACTTTTTGAATGTGCATTTGAATACATACAAAAGTGCTCTATTATATCACACTTTATACAACTTTACATTGACACTTTTTACAAAATCCAATGCACTTTTTCTCCCAAATGGATCACAATTGTTCCACCAACGCTGCATCTTACCTGCAAAAAAAATAAAAAAAAATCAAAACTACTAAAAGTGCAAGGTCAAAGAATGATAAGTGCAAAAATAATTAATTAGAACTAACTATTAAAATACCTAAAAGATGAATTCAGTGTAGGATGAATTCAACGTATCCATTGTAAAATTAAATATAAGGTGAACTCAAATTATCTACGTATAACGTATGTAAATATATACTTCGTATAATGGATTCAAAGTATCTATGTTACTATGTATAAGAAAGTGATGAAACATGCATGACGCAAATGATGAAACACGCATGACGCAAAGTTATCTAGATCATATCTATGTAAATATATATAATGGATTCAAAGTATCATGAAGCAAAACGCATGACCATCGTGAAGGACAGAAGCAATGCGCAGGAGAAACACGGTAGGAAAGAAACACGTTTGGAAAGAACAATGGCGGAAAACAGTTATGGAAGGAATAATGATGCGCACGAAATTGTAGGAATCGGTAGAATTGGAAGTGACGTGAATAACCTTAATGATATTTAATCATACGTTCAAATTAGAACTTGATCCAATGGCTCACATCTATTCTTTTTTCCTCTCCTAAGATTAAGTTCTCACATGAACCTAAATCTATATATATATATATATATATATATTACACTGTAAAACATAGATGCATTGATAATATCACACATCATACACTCTTACTAATAAACTTAAACGACGATGGCAACAAATAGTCTGTAAGATTATTAGATCCCCTTTGGGCTTTGTTTTTTATTAAAAGCCTAAAGCCTTAATTAAATTAGTTTCCTAAAGCAATTAAAGCCTAAATCTCTCTTCCATCGCGAAAATGCCCCGCGGCTAAGCTTCATTGATCCAACACCGCTCGGAGCAATGGACTTCATCATCAAAGTCCAAACGACATGTGCTTGCTTCTAGTGTTTTCAGGTCAAGACCAGGATAAGAATGAATACAACACACCAAAATACTGATTTGTTGTTCGATTTACCAGCAAGGACATTATTGCTCAGATTGTATCAGCCAGTATAGCTAGGGACATGATTCTTGCTTCAGCTTATGCTCACGAACTTCCTCAGTTTGGCCTTGAAGTTGGCCTCACAAATTATGCTGCAGCATACTGCACTTGGTTTCTGTTGGCTCGCCAAGTCCCCAAGAAACTCGAAATGGATGAAGATTATGAAGGAAATGTTGAGGCTACTGGGGAGGACTACTCTGTGGAACCTGCTGAAAGCAGGAGGCCTTTCCGTGCTCTCTTGGATGTTGGTCTTATCTGAACAACCACTGGGAATCGTGTCTTTGGTGCTCTGAAGAGTGCTTTGGATGGGGGGACTTGACATTCCTCACAATGAGAAGAGGATTTGCTGGATTCAGTAAAGATTTAAAGCAACTTGATGCTAACACTCACCACAAGTACATCTATGGAGGTCATGTTGTAGCATACATGAACAGTTTGATGGAAGATGAACCAGAAAAGTACTAATCTCACTTTAGTGAATATATTAATAAGGGTATTGAGCCAGACAACATTGAGGAGATTTACAGAAAGGTACATGCTGCTATATGTGATGATCATTGCCCAAAGAAGACCAAGCAGCCTCCTAAGGAGCACAAGACAGGGCAACTTGAAGAAACTAACTTATGAGGAGAAGTCGAGAAGAAGGCCAAGTTGGTAGAGAGGCTCAAAGCATTAAATGCAGCTGCAGGAAATGCTGATGACGATGATGATGATGAGGATGATGAGTGAACAATATGAAACAAACATTGTCCACCTATTTCTAAATTGTTGTTTCTAGTATTTGAATATGAAGTTATGACTCAATTTGTGCCTGACGCATGTCTTCCTTTCCGTGTGGATTTTGGATCTGTATCATCTACTCCTATATTATTTCTTTTAGCCTTTAAAAAAAATAAAGCCTAAATCTACTTTTTTCTGGGCCTGCGAACAACTGTTTGACTGGCAAAAAAGGTGATGACTTGTCGCAAAATCGCGCCTGGAGAACGCCTGTCGCGACTATTCTTCAGGCTAGACCTGGACTCGGGCCGGTTCGGACCCGGTTCGGGCCTGGGCCCGGCCGGGCCTCGGGCCAGGAAAGTTGGGCCCGGGCTCGAACCGCCGGTGGGCGGTTCCGGTTCCGGTTCCGGGCCAAACCGGGCCGGGCCTAACCGGTAATATTTTTTTTTTTTTTTGGCTCTTCTATTTAACCCCCAACCCCTCCCCCTCAACCCCAAACTACCCCAAACCACCTCAAATGGCCCAAAATACCTAATCCAACCCAAAACTTAAAAAAAATTCAAAAAAAAATAAAAAAATAAAAATCAGACCGAACCGGGCCCGAACCGGCCGGGCCGGTTCGCCAAAACCTGGGCCCGAGCCCGAACCGCCCAGCAGCCGGGCCGGGCCGAACCGAACCGGTGGGACCACCGGGCTCCGGGCCGGGCCGCCCGGCCCGAGTCCAGGTCTACTTCAGGCGTGGCGAGTGAAGTCGGCCCTGGCGCCAGGACGCTTAGTTGGCTCAACGACTAGGCGACACCGTGACAAGTATGCTGATAATAGTAGTAGTATAACTAATATTAGCATGATATTACAACTATTATACTAATGGTAATATTAATAACTAATAACCACTATAACTAATATAGTAGTACAACTTTATTATAATAATAGTAATATTAATAGCTACTGTGAATAATATTACTATCATAACTAATAAAATACTTGTTTCATTCTTTTTAGTTGCAACACTTTTGTTTTCATGTTTGTCAATGCACACCATCGAGCATTAATATATATTTTCTATAGTAAACCATTAATATTCAGATTTTGAAAACTTAAAATGAGATGTATTTAACAATAACTTTCGAAATACATTTCTAATGTTGCATTAATAAATAGAATGTAGTCAAATTATAACATGTGAATAGGGTAAATTTCAATGTGTTGCAATTGTTCAAGAACAAATGTAGTATCTATTACTAATAATAATAATTAATTGTATTCTGGGACCATGACTTTTCTGTGTCACCTTGTAGGAGTAAAATAAGAGTGGATGCCAAAAAAGACTTTGTTTCAAAAAATAAAGATCATTTGCGGCCAATATGAGCTTGTCATCATTATGCCATTCTACTACCATTATCAAGCCAAATTGAATATTTCAGACAAATTCTCATAATAAAAATATAATGTAATCTTGATCGCCATTTTGTTGACATATTATATAGGAAAATAATCAGTCAAGAATTTATCTTCTTTCTGAAAAAATATTATCATGTTAGGGAAAATGTCATCTCTATTATAGATGAAGAACTCAGTATACATAGTTTGACTGGCCGAGTTACTCGGAAACCATCAAGTCCTAAACACAGTTTATTGGATAAGTATTTTATACAGAGTAAATTTTATATTTATAAGTTATAACTGCTTTGTTTTCTTAATAATTTACAACATCATACTTGTAGTTTTTGATGGATAGGTTCTGTATGGCCAGACTCTTGCACCTCACATCATATTCATAATAAAGAAGAATGCATTGAGACCTAAAACATGCTTTTCAAACCGTGCATCATGCATTCTTCCACCAGGCTCTTACTCAGTGGTTCGTCTTCTGCTTTTTGGAGTCTGATCCTTCATATGGGCCAAAGTGTTGGTCATACTCTTTATCCCATAACTCTCGAAACGAATTAGCCTAATTCATTAAAGAAACTTCAGATTAAATAAACAAATATAAGAAAAATGGTCATGATGTGATATATATATATATGACCTCAACCAACCTGCTCCGCCAATAACTCGAGAGTTAATTTCAACCCACTCCAACTGTGGCTCTGTTCATTGGTGTTGCTTGTGGAGGAATCAATCTTTATAACACTCCAAAATTAGGTCAAATTAAACTAGCTAGTAATAAGATGTTAATATTGATACTGAACACAAAAATTACCATTTGATATTTCTTCCAAAAGAGCCTCCTAATTATAATCATAGTACGATAAATGGAATTGATATCATTGTCTGCTTTTAAAGCCCGAGCAACTTTTGGAACAAACTTTTGACAATCATGGTGCAGTTGACCAACAGGCAGCTTCTTTAAAAGCTATGATAATTGAGACATGATCATTAGCCCAAACGGAGAAACAACATTAGCAAATAAAGGATTGAATGTTTTTTTACCATTATTTGGTCATCTATGTGCTTCTTAGATATTGAAGGGTCCAGAGATCTTTCTTCTTCTTGAGCAGATTTCTTGTCATTCTCATGATGGTTTTCGATCTCTTCAATCTTCTTAATAATTTCAAAAGCAGCATTCTTAAATCTGGTATCCCCATACCAGACATACTGTCAAAAGAAAATCCACAAAAAAAAACACATTAACTTATAGGGCAAATAAACAAACACAATAAAAGGCTAGAATTGTTGAAAGAAACATCCATTCAATCTGATCATTGAAAACACTAACATATGAATGAAAACATGGAGTTGAAAGCTATTCACAACATAAGTCTCTAGAATCTAATTTCTTACCCCACTCTTTATTTCCCAAGCAAGAGGACGATCATCAGAATACTTGGCCCCACTTATCTCCACAGGGTCAATTTTATCTAACAGCTTATTATCTATTAGCATATTACTGATTTGAAAAGATACATCTATCAGCTCCTGTTCAGATTTACTTCTTTTGAGCGTCCTTGAGGCTCCTGACTTCTGTAGCAAAAATAACATCAAACATGTTATAAAATTTGCTACAAGCAAGATTTACAGAGTATGGAATCGAAATCAGTCTACCTCGTATAGTAGTTCAAGCTCACGATGAAGACGATCCAACAGGCTTCTCGTCCAATAAGAGGCAGCACCAAGGGCTATACAGTTCATAAGATCTGGGTCCTGTTGGTCTATAAGTTCCTGTTTACAAGCAAATGAGTAAAAACATATAAATGAATGTATCTGTATGCCTAAATATACTCCGTATGTGATATTTCTACCTACCAAGACACGATTCTGCTTATCCCGTAAATCTGCCTCAAATTCCTTAAGAACCTTCACCTTCGCAGAACATTCGTCACAAGAACACACCTTGGAAAAATCTGATTCTGGCGGAAATAATACATGAGCATCCACTTCCTTCTGTAATGCTTCGACATCACAATCTGTCATCCTTAAGATTACTCCTGGAGATATAAATGTGGGGATTTGGGTCAAAAATTCAATACGAGTACTATTTTTTTAGATATAAAGAACACGGGGATACAGGGTGAAATAAAGATGCAGACACGTAAGGACGTAAGAACGGCTGGAAAATAGGGTTCCCGTTAGAGATGGCAATTGTAACCGATCCAATGGATACCCGAATCGAACCGCCCCGATCAAGACGGGGAAAACCGCATTGACCGGGTAACGGGTATGGGGCGGGGAATACCCGTTTTGTTTTTACGGGTAACGGAGCGGTTACGGTTTTATACATGCCCGCCCCATTACCCGCCCCGTACCCGCCCCGTTTATTTTAGTTATATTTTTATTACATTTTTATTTATTATTTGTCTCATAAGTAAATGAAGATGAGATTTTTTCTATTTTCATTAAGTATATGGATAATAGATGTACTAACTATAATGTTCAATGAGAGTTCATAATAGATCTTAATAGTCTTGTTTGATTATTATCATATTTTTTAGTGAATAATTATTTTTCAGATTAAGTATTTTTAGGTTCAAATTAATTTATGTTGTCTTCTTTCTCGTCTTGTAGATATACGAAACTTTAAAGTGGCGTCTCAGTTTAGAGTCATCTAGGTGATGTCATTTTTTGCCTTTTAAAATATTTTTTTTATATTAAAATATCAATCACTCATTTAATAAAGCGATTACCCGCGGTTACCCGTGGTTATACCCGTTACCCGTTGGGGCGGATACGGTTTGGGAAAAAATTACCCGTTGGGTAATGGGGCGGTTATGGGGCGGTTATGGGGCGGGGAATTATCAAATGGGGCGGGTACGGTTATATGTAAAACCGTCCCCGAACCGCCCCGTTGCCATCCCTAGTTCCTGTTGTGGGAAACGGTGGGTAAGGGATTGGATCCTCTACAGACGAGTTCCTATATCCTACAACTGGGTGTACGTACATCAGCTCAATTAACAAAACAGTTCACTAACTAATACAGCCCATAATAAAAGGCCCATGTTAATCTGTTGCTCTAACCCTGCTTTAACCCGGCCAGTAACTTCATTCGTTTATGTCCCGAATCTTCCACTCAACATTCCTTCTTCTTTACTTCATATTTCTTTTTTTCTCTTATATCTATAATTCTTAAACTACCTGGAGATTCTAAAATTGAATGTTAGTTCCAAAAACCTTAAATAAGGTACAATTTGATTCAAAACATATATCTTCATCTCTCATTAACAATGGTTCAATTTTCTAAATTGACTCATAATATGAATGCACATCAACTGTTAGAAAAATGACAAAATGAATGTTAATTTCTTTTTTGATCAAATATTTTATCACTTATTGCACTTATATAAAATACTGAGATATACATTATTTTTTGAAAATATTTCTTGTTATGGTTAGAATTTAACTTTATTCCGCTTTTACAATTTTAACGAGTTTTAGATGTTTTTTGTTATGCATTGAATTTGATGTTTAAAGAATTTGTAAAATGATTGATATATACTTTTCCAGTATGTTAATTTTTTGTAAAAAATAGTAAACTTCATTAATTTATTAATTAAAATTTAATGTGTTTAGTTATTACGTGTGTAATATGGGAATGAGTATTTTGTTAAATTAAAATGAGTATAATGTGTAGAGTAAATGGGTATAGGTGTAACATTATAAAATAAATATAATAAAGTTTGTAGTTCTAGAATAAGAATTTGAAAAATTGTTATATATCTAATGGCTAAATCTACCGATAGTCTAACAAATGAATGTAATTAGATTTGTGGATTGTGCATGGAAATGAGTTTTATACTATATTTAAATGATTATAATGTTTAAAAGAAATGAGCATTGATATGAAATTATGAAATGATCAAAAAAAGATTTCATATGAGCATGCCGTAACAATTATATACAACAATCTGCATCAATATAGCATTTTAAAATGAACACAACTAGCTAGTGAATGAAAATATGATACTTATGATATGTGCATTAATATGACATTTTGAAATGAGCAAAACACACATACTGAATGAGCATAAATAACTTAAAAATGATCATATTGTTCATTATTATATGCTCATTTTAAATCTCTGTCGTGCTCGTCTTTTAAAGTCATATCAATATTCATTTGGTTTAAACTTCATTCAGTATATCATAACACTCATTTTTATAATCCACACATGTAATATATTCACTCAATTAGATTCATTTACTAAATTATTCATATTCATGCATATTGGTGTAATGCTTATTTTGAACTTTTTGCTACTCATTTCACACGTTATGTATTCACATTTAATATTTGAACATACTCATTTAACACGGTTCCTGCTAAATGAGCAATAGTCTACTTTTAGTGAGCATAAGACCTATTTTATTGAGTATTAGGAGGCTAACAATCATGAGTTTCACGATCTTTGCTTCATATATTCTAATTCTCTTTCTTTTTCTTATTTTTTAGTTTATAAAAAACTATTAAATTATATCTATAATCCACTCTTATTAATTTCAATATGCGAGTCTAATATAATATGATACTTTTGAAATATGCATTGAAATGAATTGTAAAAATGAGCATTACATTCGTACCAAATGAGTAATGATGAACTTTTAATGAGCATCAAACCTTTTATATTGAGAATTAGGAGTCCAATATTCAAAATTATGATCTGCTTCATAACTTCTAATTCACTCTCTTTTTTGTTATTTTTTCTTTTATAAAAACTTATTACATTATCTTTATAATCAACTCCTATGAATTCCAATATGTGAATGTAATTTAGAATAGTACTTTTAAAAATGCATTGATATGACATTTACAAAATGAGCATAAAATCAGTACCTGATGAGCATACGTAATTTACAAAATGAGTATTAATGAATTTGTTAGTTGTTTTGTTAGTTGAACATCACAACATTTTAATTGAGCATCAAACCTTCGTTATTGAGATGAAATTCACGATTTTTGCTGAATGAGCATCAATGAATTTTTAATGAGCATCAGACCTATTATATTGAGTATTAGAAGTCTAATATTCAGAATCGTGATCTCTGCTTCATAAAAAATGAGCATAATATCAGTATCGATGGAGCATATGTGGCTTACAAAATAAGCATTAATATGTTGAGCATACAGACATTTTTCATTGAGCATTAAACCTTCTCTACTGAGTATTAAAAGTGTGCAATTGAGTACCGATTGAGCATCAAGACGTTTTTATTGAGTTCAAATCGCCTCTATCGAGTATTAAAACATGCAATTGAATATCATGATATGTGCCCTCATATATGTAATTAAATCCAACTTGAATCTAATGTAATTTACTACTTTTGAAATATGTATTGATACAACATTTTAATATGAGCATCACATCAATACCAAATGAGCATAAATTAAAAACCTAAACTAGAAGGTTGATTGGAAAAAGAAGAAAAAACAAACTAAACTTTAACCATATTTTAGATTATAAATTTGCATAATAATTCAATAAAAAATTAAAGCATGTAAAAGAAAAAAAAAAAAGGAACTAAAAAGAGAAAACAACAAAAGAAATGAAACTAAAAATCAACCAAAAAGTGAAAAGCAAGAAACTGAAAAGAAGAAGAGAGAAAACGAAAAACAAGACAGAGGAGTAAAGCCGTAGCAACCCGTATTCCTCTTCAGCCGGACTCCCAGCTAACAGCGAGCAAATAGCTTCGATCGGAACTCCAGGCCGAACTTGAGCAAGCGAGCAGTACTGATAGGCGCCTCCTTCAATAGCTCCCAGGACATCAGCGAGCAGCACATGGAAGATTTTACCATTGGAATTCTAATTAATTGCAAAAATACCCGGTTGTACCATGCCCTAGGTACAGCCGGTTGTACGATAGTATTTACCTCATAATGGAGATTTAATTTTCCTAAACATAGAAATCTTCCCACTATGAATTCAACGTATATCTAATCTAAAATATTATAATGGTCAATGAGGGTTAATACCCTTTTGGGAATAAAATTGTGTTGGTGGTATAGTATAGCTATATAGAGTTGTACATTATTTGAAAAGCCATAGTACATTAGTACCATTATTGTTTCTTCCGTACTCTCTGCATTGCCTTCCGTTAAATGAACCGCCCCTTCGTTAGGCTGACCGCAACCCATATCCGTCAATAAATCAAATTCCCCACTAGTTTATACGAATTTTCTCAATCAATTCAATTTTTACTGCAATCCAACAACGTCAATATATTCATCCAACAAAAGCTTTTGTAATTAAAGTTTTTTTTATAATTATACTTCAATTATTTTTATTTCGATGTAAAAATAAATAAATTTGGAATTTATTTTTTTATGCTATTTCATACCCATTTTTGGTGAAAAAATTGGCTGATCCTGATAAGCCGAAAAATAGTGTTGCCAAACGGCCTCTTAATGAAGCTATTGGGTATGAATCTATCTTTTCATATAATTTTTTTTAATTTCTCATATGCAATATTGATGTCATATGGAAGATAATAAAAAATTACGAAATTTTGATATATTTTTTATAAAAATTGAAATAAAAATAACTCAGTTTGAATAGAATTAAATGAATCCCACGGAAGGCCCATAAAAAGGCCCAATTAAAAGAAAGACAGTCCATTTAATTAAAATAGCCTATTTTTTTCGGTGGCAGTTTTGTAATTTAAGCGAAAAATAATGGCTCCCGCTAAATGAGCAACATTGTAGTTTTGTTGAGCATCTCACAATTAAAAGGCCCCATAAAAAGGCCCAATTAAAAGAAAGACAATCCTATTATGTTGAGTATTAGGAGTCTATCATAAAGTAATACTTTTAAAAAATGCATTGATATGACATTTAGAAAATGAGCATAAAATGAGTATCAGATGAGCATATGTAACTTACAACACGAGTATTAATGAATTTGGTAGCTGCTTTGTTGGTTAAATATCACAACATTTTCATTCAGCATCAAAACTCCTCTATTGAGATTGATGAGAATCATGATTTCTATTAAATGAGCATTAATGAATTTTTAATGAGCATCAGGCCTATAGAAATGAGCATATGTAAATTATATCATTTAGAAAATGAGTATAAGATGGGTACCGGATGAGCATAGTAACTTACAAAATGC